GTCAAATTGAAAGATTACCTGCTTTCGTAAGTTGAATATCTATCTATACGTATATATATATATATATATATATTATATTGTGAATGTGTATGTATGCACTCACACATACATATATGAATATAAATACACATGTATATATACATGTGTGTGTGTGTGTATATATATATATATATATATATATATATATATATATATTCACACACATACATATATCATAAATCATATATACTATGTTGTATGTACATAAATAACAAGTATGAAAGTGCATCCAGTTTTAGGTAACTGTTGTGGAAATGTAAAATACGCTTTTCACTAATTAAATATAATGAAAGACTGAAAAAATAGTCTTATGTCACTGTACCTTCTCATCTATTACTCTCTGGTTTTCTCTCTTGACTATTTACAGTTTTCTAGCCTTGGGTTACAGTGATCATTAAGTTGTACACATTAGAACTCATTCCTTGTACTTCCTTAGACAAAAAAAAAAAAAAAAAAAATATGCATGTGACAATAATTTCCGTAACAACTTCCTCTTTTTGCAGTGGCTTTTCAATACATTTAAATACAGTACGATATTTTCTCTAAGCATTTGGGAAAGATTGGGCGTTCGAAACCACCTTCGCAGTGTCTGTACTTCCATTGCTCCTTAAAAATTTATCTTTCCGTACCGTTTAAGTAATTCAGTTAACCGATGTCTAAACTCCTGTCAAGAATCATAGTCAAAGTATTCTTAGCAGGATGATTGATTAATTATTAAATTAATTATCTAGCGCGGTAACAGCTGAGGTCCTTAGCGGCGAATATATTGGTGCATTCGAAGCACGTATTATGTATAAGTATCATATAAAATACGAACGAACACTTTCTCGGATTTTTTTCTTACCTACTTATCTATTAAACCACCAAGCACGGTTGTTTGTTTCAGATCATTTATTTCGTATTCAAAATTATCAAAGATAACATAATAAACCATAATTATAATATACATTCATGTGAACACATATACGTGCATGCACATATGCATATTCACACAGACGACTCTATGTATGTGTTATTGTATATGTACAGAGAGATCCATAGACACATATATACATACACTGTGTATCATATATATCATGATGCCATATTAGATCTACATAAATTTATAGATACGTAAAATAACTACCTAAACCTGGTTCCGTGATTGTGCTTATATTTACTTCTTTGTAGTAGTTATTTTAGTTATATTGAAAATGCTTTGACGTTTACTTTTCCTTGCGTACATATATATCTGTATGGATGTGTGTATACAGTGAGTATTTGCAGATACGTATTAATGTGCATGCATCTCCGTTAACATGGACGTACAATTTTATTTGAGGTCGAGTGTCTAAATATGTACGGTATATAGCGAGACATCTGTGTGTGTGTGCGTGAGGGTTTGCCTGCTTTTGCATGCGTACATACATATCTGTACGTATGTGTATAGAGTCTTTATATACAGGTACTTATTGACATGTATACATGACCTTGTTTGAAGTCCTATATAAATTTGTACAATACATAGCGATATACAGGTGTAGGTATGCGTGTTTTGCGTTTCTTTGTAAGTGTGTGTGCGTGTGTGTGGTGTGTCCGCATTTATGTTTATGGACATATTAGATATTTTTATATATAATGACCTGGAAAGCACTACGCGAGTAGCCTTGGCTGTTGTCCTGTGACGTATATATAAGGCGTGACTCCTTGCTGTCGACGCATAGTCTTCGCTGAGTTCACAGCAAGAACATTCAACATGAAGCTGGTGAGTACATACGTAATTATGAATATATGACAATGATCATATGGGTTAATTATTATTATTATTATTTATGCTGCTTCTTCAAAGTATTATTGCATAAATTATGTAATCATTATTACCATTACCATTATCGTCACTACTACTGATATTACTACCAGTAGTAGTAACAGCAGAAATATTAATCTTTCGTTTCATGCGAGGCATTACCTTGAGATCGCTTCCAAATCAAATCTATAGGTCTAATAAAAAAAAAAAAATAATATCACATTTTTCACCTGCCTTTCTTTTCATGTCTTCAGATCTCGATGGCTCTGGCCCTGGTGGTGGCCCTGGCATGCCTGGTGAGCTGGACCAGCGCCATGCCTCAGCCTGACCCCGTGGCTGACCCTGACCCCGCGGCTGACCCTGGCTTCCGTCGCTTCGGTGGATTGGGATATGGTGGATACGGCTACGGAGGTCGTGGCTACGGGGGCTACGGCTACGGAGGATATCGCGGTGGCTTTTACGGATAAAGATATCCTACTTCCCGCTTTTTGAAAAGAACATCCTAAACAATGCTACATGAACTTAACTTCCTGTTTTTCTTCTCAAATAAACTTCATGAATCAATGTTTCGAACTATTACGATCCTCGAAAGTGTACAAGAATTTGTACATGCAAATATGAATATGTATCAAACATAAAGTGTTTTTTAAGAAATTATGAATATATTCATCTTGAATTCTTCCATGACCTAGAATTCATAATCTCAAAATCATTTTTGTTTTTTGTTTTTGTTTGTTTGTTTGTCTCAGCTGGTAAGTATATATATAAACAGGAATATATAACAATTATGACAATGACTCATATGGATAAATCGCATGCCTATTTCTCTATATTTACTACCTCTCATTATAGTCTGTACAGATCTCAACACAGATGGATATCAGTATAAGTTGCAAAATTGCTACTAGTAGAAGCAGTAGTATTTATCTTTCAAATTACATGTAAAAATTTCTAATGAAGAGAATTTTTTCGTTTCTTGCAAATAACCTTTTTTATTCCATATCTACAGCTTTCGATGGCTCTGGCCCTGGTGGTGGCCCTGGCATGCCTGGTGAGCTGGACCAGCGCAATGCCTGACCCCGTAGCTGACCCTGACCCCGCGGCTGACCCTGGCTTCCGTCGCTTCGGTGGATTGGGATATGGAGGATACGGCTACGGAGGTCATGGATACGGGGGCTACGGCTACGGGGGATACCGCAGGAGCTATTATGGTTGAAGATAACCTTGACACAGGACTCCTACTTCCATATCTTGTAATCGATCTTGAAAAGAATGACAAAAATCCATTTCCTAATATTCTTCTCAAATAAACTACATAAACGAATGTTTAAAACTTATAAACCTCACTGCCGCACTTATATATACAAATAGGAACACAATCCTCGTGTTGCTGAGAACTGAAAATATTCATCATGATTTTCCATGATCTATAACTCAAAATCATGGATTAATGTTTCACTTCTGTCAGTTTTTCTGTTACTGCAATTATTGAAAAAAAGATTGGTTGACTGTACGTACATATGTGTCTGTGAATAGACATATATATGTACATGTTTATATAGATATAAGAGTATAAATGCATGCGTGCGCGGGTGTTTACATATAGGTATGTAGGTATATAGATATAGATAGGGACAAATACATTCGCACACATATATATGTATAGATATATACAGTTGCATGCTTTTATATATTGATATACATATATGTGGATATATATACATTTAAATGCATGTACATATACATATAGATAGATAGATATAGATATATATCCCTGCGCACAAACAACCACGCACCTACATATACTTACACACACACACATATATGTATGCATGTATATATTTATTTACATATATATATACGTATATGTGTGTAAGCCTTATTTTTATATTCTATCTTTTTCGCCGTCAAAAATTGAAAGATTACCTGCTTTCGTAAGTTGAATATCTATCTATACGTATATATATATATTATATTGTGAATGTGTGTGTATGCACTCACACATACATATATGAATATAAATACACATGTATATATACATGTGTGTGTGTGTGTGTGTGTATATATATATGTATATATATATATATATATATATATATATATATATATATATATATATTCACACACATACATATATCATAAATACCATAAATACTATGTTGTATGTACATAAATGCTAAGTATGAAAGTGCATCCAGTTTTAGGTAACTGTTGTGGAAATGTAAAATGCGCTTTTCAGTAATTAAATATAATGAAAGACTGAAAAAAATAGTCTTATGTCACTGTACCTTCTCATCTATTACTCTCTGGTTTTCTCTCTTGACTATTTACAGTTTTCTAGCCTTGGGTTACAGTGAGCATTAAGTTGTACACATTAGAACTCATTCCTTGTACTTCCTTTAAAAAAAAAAAAAAAAAAAAAAATGCATGTGACAATAATTTCCGTAACAACTTCCTCTTTTTGCAGTGGCTTTTCAATACACGTAAATACAGTACGATATTATTTCGAAGCATTTGGAAAAGACTGGGCGTTATAAACCACCTTCGCAGTGTCTGTACTTCCATTGCTCCTTAAAAATTTATCTTTCCGTACCGTTTAAGTAATTCAGTTAACCGATGTCTAAACTCCTGTCAAGAATCATAGTCAAAGTATTCTTAGCAGGATGATTGATTAATGATTAAATTAATGATCTAGCGCGGTAACAGCTGAGGTCCTTAGCGGCGAATATATTGGTGCATTCGAAGCACGTATTATGTATAAGTATCATATAGAATACGAACGAACACTTTCTCGGATTTTTTTCTTATCTACTTATCTATTAAACCACCACGCACGGTTGTTTGTTTCAGATCATTTATTTCGTATTTAAAATTATCAAGATAACATAATAAACCAAATTGTAATATACATTCATTTGAACACATATACGTGCATGCACATATGCATATTCACACAGACGACTGTATGTATGTGTTATTGTATATGTACAGAGAGATCCATAGACATATATATATACATACACTGTGTATCATAGATATCATGATGCCATATAAGATCTACATAAATTTATAGATACGTAAAATAACTACCTAAACCTGGTTCCGTGATTGTGCTTATATTTACTTCTTTGTAGTAGTTATATTAAAAATGCTTTCGCGTTTGCCTTTGCTTGCGTACATATATATCTGTATGGATGTGTGTATACAGTGAGTATTTGCAGATACGTATTAATGTGCATGCATCTCCGTTAACATGGACGTACAATTTTATTTGAGGTCGAGTGTGTCGCGGTACGGTATATAGTGAGACATCTGTGTGTGTGCGTGTACGTTTGTGTGTGGGTTTGCCCGCTTTTGCATGCGTACATATATATCTGTACGTATGCATATAGAGTATTTATATACAGGTACGTATTGACATGTATACATGACCTTGTTTGAAGTCCTATATAAATTTGTACAATACATAGCGATATACAAGTGTAGGTATGCGTGTTTGCGTTTCTTTGTAAGTGTGTGTGTGGGTGTGTCCGCATTTATGTTTATGGACATATTAGATATTTTTATATATAATGACCTGGAAAGCACTACGCGAGTGACCTTGGCTGTTGTCCTGTGACGTATATAAGGCGTGACTCCTTGCTGTCGACGCATAGTCTTCGCTGAGTTCACAGCAAGAACATTCAACATGAAGCTGGTGAGTACATACGTAATTATGAATATATGACAATGATCATATGGGTTAATTATTATTATTATTTATGCTGCTTCTTGCAAAGTATTAGTTGCATAAATTATGTATATCATTATTACCATTACCATTATCGTCACTACTACTGATATTACTACCAGTAGTAGTAACAGCAGAAATATTAATCTTTCGTTTCATGCGAGGCATTACCTTGAGATCGCTTCCAAATCAAATCAATAGGTCTAATAAAAAATAAAAAAATGCCTTTATCACATTTTTCACCTGCCTTTCTTTTCATGTCTTCAGATCTCGATGTCTCTGGCCCTGGTGGTGGCCCTGGCATGCCTGGTGAGCTGGACCAGCGCCATGCCTCAGCCTGACCCCGTGGCTGACCCTGACCCCGCGGCTGACCCTGGCTTCCGTCGCTTCGGTGGATTGGGATATGGTGGATACGGCTACGGAGGTCGTGGCTACGGGGGCTACGGCTACGGAGGATATCGCGGTGGCTTTTACGGATAAAGATATCCTACTTCCCGCTTTTGAAAAGAACATCCTAAACAATGCTGCATGAACTTAACTTCCTGTTTTTCTTCTCAAATAAACTTCATGAATCAATGTTTCGAACTATTACGATCCTCAAAAGTGTACAAGAATTTGTACATACAAATATGAATATGTATCAAACATAAAGCGTTTTTTAAGGAATTATGAAAATATCCATCTTGAATTCTTCCATGACCTAAAATTCATAATCTCAAAATCATTTTTTTTTTTTTTTTTTTTTTTTTTTTTTTTGTCTCACCTCTGTCAGCCTTTCTGATTACATACATCGAGAACTAAATATTTGGTTGACTGTGTGCATGTGCAAATACATATGCAGATGTATAAACATGTGTGTATATAGACATTATGTATATATGCATGTTTTGGATATATGTATATACAAACTTATATGCGTGTACGGATATATACTGTCATATGTTCTAATTTGTATATGCATATGTACACTTATATATGTGCGTACGCATGGATGTCATATAATGTACACACACACACACACACACACACACACACACACACATACACACACATATATATATATATATATATATATATATATATATATATATATATATATATATATATACGCATAAACAAGCGCACTCACAAACAAATGTGTCTATCAGTCTATATCTATATCTACCTATACATATACACATATATGTATCTACTCATATTATATACGAATATTGTATACTTCATTATTATCTGCCATTTTCGCTGTCCAAAGAAATGGAAAGATTCCCTAAAAATTGTACAACCTGAAGATGAAGTTTGGCTTTGTAATATATTCAATCTTGTTCCGTCGACCTAGCTCTCGTCTGAGTGCACATTTAAAAATGTGCGTGAACACACACACAAACACCTAAAAACATACATACATACACATATAGATCGGACGCCTTTTGACAGTATATATTCCAGTCTGTCAAAATTAATGAATAATCCTACAAGCATACTCCCAAAACCTCCTTTCATAAAGCTCGTAAGTAAATAAATTCATCATTCTACTAAATTAGGGCATTCATGTTTATGCGGGAGAATAAGGCATCATTATGACGAACTTTCCATGGCATCAAAAAATTAGTACCCCGCTCGTGGCACTGTTTCTTCTGTAAAAAAAAATATAATAATAATAATAATAATAATAATAATAAATGAAAAAAAATGAAAATAAAAAAAGCCGTGGTGATCAATATTTATGGATAAACACATACATATATACAATCTATATGTATATATATATATATATATATATACATATAGATATGCGTATACAAACACACACATATGTATATATGTGTGTGTGTTCCCGTTTGTGTTTGTGTTACGTATTACGTATTTCTCTCTCTCACTATATATACATACATACACGTGTATATGTATGCATATTTGTGTGTATACATACATACATACACACACACACACACACACACACACACACACACACACACACACACACACATATATATATATATATATATATATATATATATATATATATATATATATATATATATATATATATATAATCTTGCGTGTATGTATATTTGCATGCACACACGTAAACATTATATAACCCAGGATTGAAAAAGTGATCAAGTGAATATATAATTATATATATGTGTTGTGTGTGAGTACATGTATATATATATATATATATATATATATATATATATATATATATATATATATATATATATATATATAGTATGTTCCTATACCTTCTCTATCACTCTTTTCCTTCCTCGATTACCTATTTATAGCTTTGGGTTTTAGAGATCATAAAGTGTTGTAAATTAGAACTCATTCCTTGTCTTTCCTCACACAAATTTTGCTTCTGGCAATAACTCCCTACTCTCATTCCTTACCGTTTTGTCAGTACTTTTAGATTCATTCAGAAAATATCTCAACGCATTTTGAAAAGAATTAGCAAAAGAAATACAAAAGGTGCCATTAAAACAAAATGGTAATTTGCACTCATTTTAACACATATACGTACATACACACGGCATATCCACACATATTCTTGTGTGTGTTGCATATATGCAGACAAATACATAGGTATATATATATATATATATATATATATATATATATATATATATATATATATATATATATATATATATATATATATATATATACTGTTTAAGTGTCATATATTTTATTGCATCTATACATATTTATCTCTATATATTTATAGATACGGAAAATAAATAATTAAGTGGCAGTCGTGTGCCTATATATATATATATATATATATATATATATATATATATATATATATATATATATATATATATACAAGTGTATATGCATATACATACATATATATGTAAAGGTACGTATGTATGTATGATGTTTAAAGTTAAGTGTTTGTTTGTGTGTGCGCGTGTGTTTATGTATGGGTGTGTCCGCAGCTGTGTTTATAGATATATTAGATATTTTTGTATATAATGACTTTCGTAAAAACGCTACGCGAGTAGCCTTGGCTGTTGTCCTGTGACATATATAAGGCGTGACTCCTTGCTGTAGACGCATAGTCTTCGCTGAGTTCACAACAAGAACATACTCTCAACATGAAGCTGGTGAGTACAAACGTAATTACGAATATATCATAAAAATCAGATTTTTTGCCGCTTTCAACATATTCATTGCATAGATTAGATTATCGTTATTACGATCATTATTATCACCACAACTACAACTATTACTAATAGTAGTAGTGGTGACAGCAATAGTATTTATCTTTCATTTAATGCGAGTCATTACCTTGAGATCACTTCAAAATTATATAGAAGTTTAATGAAAAGAATGCTCTTATTTTCCACTTTCCTTTTTCATGTCTACAGATCTCGATGGCTCTGGCCCTGGTGGTGGCCCTGGCATGCCTGGTGAGCTGGACCAGCGCCATGCCTCACCCTGACCCCGTAGCTGACCCTGACCCCGCGGCTGACCCTGGCTTCCGTCGCTTCGGTGGATTGGGATATGGAGGATACGGCTACGGAGGTCATGGATACGGGGGCTACGGCTACGGGGGATACCGCAGGAGCTATTATGGTTGAAGATAACCTTGACACAGGACTCCTACTTCCATATCTTGTAATCGATCTTGAAAAGAATGACAAAAATTCATTTCCTAATTTGCTTCTCAAATAAACGACATGAACGAATGTTTAAAACTTATAAACCTCACTGCCGCACTTATATATACAAATAGGAACACAATCCTCGTGTTGCTGAGAACTGAAAATATTCATCACGATTTTCCATGATCTATAACTCAAAATCATGGATTAATGTTTCACTTCTGTCAGTTTCTGTTACTGCAAATTATGAAAAAAAGATTGGTTGACTGTACGTACATATGTGTCTGTGAATAGACATATATGTACATGTTTATATAGATATAAGAGTATAAATGCATGCGTGCGCGGGTGTTTACATATAGGTATGTAGGTATATAGATATAGATAGGGACAAATACATTCGCACACATATATATGTATAGATATATACAGTTGCATGCTTTTATATATTGATATACATATATGTGGATATATATACATTTAAATGCATGTACATATACATATAGATAGATATATATAGATATATATCCCTGCGCACAAACAACCACGCACCTACATATACTTACACACACACACATATATGTATGCATGTATATATTTATTTACATATATATACGTATATGTGTGTAAGCCTTATTTTTATATTCTATCTTTTCGCCGTCAAAAATTGAAAGATTACCTGCTTTCGTAAGTTGAATATCTATCTATACGTATATATATATATTATATTGTGAATGTGTGTGTATGCACTCACACATACATATATGAATATAAATACACATGTATATATACATGTGTGTGTGTGTGTGTATATATGTATATATATATATATATATATATATATATATATATATATATATATATATATTCACACACATACATATATCATAAATACCATAAATACTATGTTGTATGTACATAAATGCTAAGTATGAAAGTGCATCCAGTTTTAGGTAACTGTTGTGGAAATGTAAAATGCGCTTTTCAGTAATTAAATATAATGAAAGACTGAAAAAATAGTCTTATGTCACTGTACCTTCTCATCTATTACTCTCTGGTTTTCTCTCTTGACTATTTACAGTTTTCTAGCCTTGGGTTACAGTGAGCATTAAGTTGTACACATTAGAACTCATTCCTTGTACTTCCTTAGACAAAAAAAAAAAAAAAAAAAAAATGCATGTGACATAATTTCCGTAACAACTTCCTCTTTTTGCAGTGGCTTTTCAATACACGTAAATACAGTACGATATTATTTCGAAGCATTTGGAAAAGACTGGGCGTTATAAACCACCTTCGCAGTGTCTGTACTTCCATTGCTCCTTAAAAATTTATCTTTCCGTACCGTTTAAGTAATTCAGTTAACCGATGTCTAAACTCCTGTCAAGAATCATAGTCAAAGTATTCTTAGCAGGATGATTGATTAATGATTAAATTAATGATCTAGCGCGGTAACAGCTGAGGTCCTTAGCGGCGAATATATTGGTGCATTCGAAGCACGTATTATGTATAAGTATCATATAGAATAATTCAAACGAACACTTTCTCGGATTTTTTTCTTACCTACTTATCTATTAAACCACCAAGCACGGTTGTTTGTTTCAGATCATTTATTTCGTATTCAAAATTATCAAAGATAACATAATAAACCATAATTATAATATACATTCATTTGAACACATATACGTGCATGCACATACGCATATTCACACAGACGACTCTATGTATGTGTTATTGTATATGTACAGAGAGATCCATAGACACATATATACATACACTGTGTATCATATATATCATGATGCCATATTAGATCTACATAATTTATAGATACGTAAAATAACTACCTAAACCTGGTTCGTGATTGTGCTTATATTTACTTCTTTGTAGTAGTTATTTTAGTTATATTGAAAATGCTTTGACGTTTACTTTTCCTTGCGTACATATATATCTGTATGGATGTGTGTATACAGTGTGTATTTGCAGATACGTATTAATGTGCATGCATCTCCGTTAACATGGACGTACAATTTTATTTGAGGTCGAGTGTCTAAATATGTACGGTATATAGCGAGACATCTGTGTGGTGTGTGCGTGGGTTTGCCGCTTTTGCATGCGTACATATATATCTGTACGTATGCATATAGAGTATTTATATACAGGTACGTATTGACATGTATACATGACCTTGTTTGAAGTCCTATATAAATTTGTACAATACATAGCGATATACAGGTGTAGGTATGCGTGTTTGCGTTTCTTTGTAAGTGTGTGTGCGTGTGTGTGTGTGTGTCCGCATTTATGTTTATGGACATATTAGATATTTTTATATATAATGACCTGGAAAGCACTACGCGAGTAGCCTTGGCTGTTGTCCTGTGACGTATATAAGGCGTGACTCCTTGCTGTCGACGCATAGTCTTCGCTGAGTTCACAGCAAGAACATTCAACATGAAGCTGGTGAGTACATACGTAATTATGAATATATGACAATGATCATATGGGTTAATTATTATTATTATTATTTATGCTGCTTCTTGCAAAGTATTAGTTGCATAAATTATGTAATCATTATTACCATTACCATTATCGTCACTACTACTGATATTACCAGTAGTAGTTAAAACAGAAATATTAATCTTTTGTTTCATGCGAGGCATTACCTTGAGATCGCTTCCAAATCAAATCTATAATAAAAAAATTAAAAAATGCCTTTATCACATTTTTCACCTGCCTTTCTTTTCATGTCTTCAGATCTCGATGGCTCTGGCCCTGGTGGTGGCCCTGGCATGCCTGGTGAGCTGGACCAGCGCCATGCCTCAGCCTGACCCCGTAGCTGACCCTGACCCCGCGGCTGACCCTGGCTTCCGTCGCTTCGGTGGATTGGGATATGGTGGATACGGCTACGGAGGTCGGCTACGGGGGCTACGGCTACGGAGGATATCGCGGTGGCTTTTACGGATAAAGATATCCTACTTCCCGCTTTTGAAAAGAACATCCTAAACAATGCTACATGAACTTAACTTCCTGTTTTTCTTCTCAAATAAACTTCATGAATCAATGTTTCGAACTATTACGATCCTCGAAAGTGTACAAGAATTTGTACATGCAAATATGAATATGTATCAAACATAAAGTGTTTTTAAAGAATTATGAAAATATCCATCTTGAATTCTTCCATGACCTAGAATTCATAATCTCAAAATCATTTTTTGTTTGTTTGTTTGTTTGTTTGTCTCAGCTGGTAAGTATATATATAAACAGGAATATATAACAATTATGACAATGACTCATATGGATAAATCGCATGCCTATTTCTCTATATTTACTACCTCTCATTATAGTCTGTACAGATCTCAACACAGATGGATATCAGTATAAGTTGCAAAATTGCTACTAGTAGAAGCAGTAGTATTTATCTTTCAAATTACATGTAAAATTTCTAATGAAGAGAATTTTTCGTTTCTTGCAAATAACCTTTTTTATTCATATCTACAGCTTTCGATGGCTCTGGCCCTGGTGGTGGCCCTGGCATGCCTGGTGAGCTGGACCAGCGCAATGCCTGACCCCGTAGCTGACCCTGACCCCGCGGCTGACCCTGGCTTCCGTCGCTTCGGTGGATTGGGATATGGAGGATACGGCTACGGAGGTCATGGATACGGGGGCTACGGCTACGGGGATACCGCAGGAGCTATTATGGTTGAAGATAACCTTGACACAGGACTCCTACTTCCATATCTTGTAATCGATCTTGAAAAGAATGACAAAAATCCATTTCCTAATTTTCTTCTCAAATAAACTACATAAACGAATGTTTAAAACTTATAAACCTCACTGCCGCACTTATATATACAAATAGGAACACAATCCTCGTGTTGCTGAGAACTGAAAATATTCATCATGATTTTCCATGATCTATAACTCAAAATCATGGATTAATGTTTCACTTCTGTCAGTTTCTGTTACTGCAAATTATGAAAAAAAAGATTGGTTGACTGTACGTACATATGTGTCTGTGAATAGACATATATATGTACATGTTTATATAGATATAAGAGTATAAATGCATGCGTGCGCGGGTGTTTACATATAGGTATGTAGGTATATAGATATAGATAGGGACAAATACATTCGCACACATATATATGTATAGATATATACAGTTGCATGCTTTTATATATTGATATACATATATGTGGATATATATACATTTAAATGCATGTACATATACATATAGATAGATATATATAGATATATATCCCTGCGCACAAACAACCACGCACCTACATATACTTACACACACACACATATATGTATGCATGTATATATTTATTTACATATATATACGTATATGTATGTAAGCCTTATTTTTATATTCTATCTTTTTCGCCGTCAAAAATTGAAAGATTACCTGCTTTCGTAAGTTGAATATCTATCTATACGTATATATATATTATATTGTGAATGTGTGTGTATGCACTCACACATACATATATGAATATAAATACACATGTATATATACATGTGTGTGTGTGTGTATATATATATATATATATATATATATATATATATCACACACATACATATATCATAAATACCATTAATACTATGTTGTATGTACATAAATGCTAAGTATGAAAGTGCATCCAGTTTTAGGTAACTGTTGTGGAAATGTAAAATGCGCTTTTCAGTAATTAAATATAATGAAAGACTGAAAAAATAGTCTTATGTCACTGTACCTTCTCATCTATTACTCTCTGGTTTTCTCTCTTGACTATTTACAGTTTTCTAGCCTTGGGTTACAGTGAGCATTAAGTTGTACACATTAGAACTCATTCCTTGTACTTCCTTAGACAAAAAAAAAAATGCATGTGACAATAATTTCCGTAACAACTTCCTCTTTTTGCAGTGGCTTTTCAATACATTTAAATACAGTACGATATTATTTCGAAGCATTTGGAAAAGACTGGGCGTTCGAAACCACCTTCGCAGTGTCTGTACTTCCATTGCTCCTTAAAAATTTATCTTTCCGTACCGTTTAAGTAATTCAGTTAACCGATGTCTAAACTCCTCTCAAGAATCATAGTCAAAGTATTCTTAGCAGGATGATTGATTAATGATTAAATTAATGATCTAGCGCGGCAACAGCTGAGGTCCTTAGCGACGAATATATTGGTGCATTCGAAGCACGTATTATGTATAAGTACCATATAGAATAATTCAAACGAACACTTTCTCGGATTTTTTGTTATCTACTTATCCATTAAACTACCATACACGCTTGCTTTTTTTTATCAGATCATTTATTTTGTATTCAAAATTACCAAAGATGACATACACCAAAATTGCAATATACATTCATTTGAACACATATACGTGCATGCACACACGCATATTCACACAGACGATTCTATGTATGTGTTATTGTATATGTACAGAGAGATCCATAGACATATATATATACACTGTGTATCATATGTATCATGGTGCCATATTAGATCTACATACATTTATAGATACGTAAAATAACTACCTAAACCTCGTTCCGTGATTGTAGCCATGTGCTTATATTTACTTTTTTCTTATTATAGTTATATTGAAAATGCTTTCGCGTTTGCCTTTGCTTGCGTACATATATATCTGTATGGATGTGTGTATACAGTGAGTATTTGCAGATACGTATTAATGTGCATGCATCTCCGTTAACATGGACGTACAATTTTATTTGAGGTCGAGTGTCTAAATATGTACGGTATATAGCGAGACATCTGTGTGTGTGCGTGTACGTTTGTGTGTGGGTTTGCCCGCTTTTGCATGCGTACATATATATCTGTACGTATGCATATAGAGTATTTATATACAGGTACGTATTGACATGTATACATGACCTTGTTTGAAGTCCTATATAAATTTGTACAATACATAGCGATATACAGGTATAGGTATGCGTGTTTTCGTTTCTTTGTGTGTGTGTGCGTTTGTGTGGGGGTGTGTCCGCATTTATGTTTATGGACATATTAGATATTTTTATATATAATGACCTGGAAAGCACTACGCGAGTAGCCTTGGCTGTTGTCCTGTGACATATATAAGGCGTGACTCCTTGCTGTCGACGCATAGTCTTCGCTGAGTTCACAGCAAGAACATTCAACATGAAGCTGGTGAGTACATACGTAATTATGAATATATGACAATGATCATATGGGTTAATTATTATTATTGTTATTTATGCTGCTTCTTGCAAAGTATTAGTTGCATAAATTATGTATATCATTATTACCATTACCATTATCGTCACTACTACTGATATTACTACCAGTAGTAGTAACAGCAGAAATATTAATCTTTCGTTTCATGCGAGGCATTACCTTGAGATCGCTTCCAAATCAAATCTATAGGTCTAATAAAAAAAAAAAATGCCCTTATATTTTTCACCTGCCTTTCTTTTTATGTCTACAGATCTCGATGGCTCTGGCCCTGGTGGTGGCCCTGGCATGCCTGGTGAGCTGGACCAGCGCCATGCCTCAGCCTGACCCCGTGGCTGACCCTGACCCCGCGGCTGACCCTGGCTTCCGTCGCTTCGGTGGATTGGGATATGGTGGATACGGCTACGGAGGTCGTGGCTACGGGGGCTACGGCTACGGAGGATATCGCGGTGGCTTTTACGGATAAAGATATCCTACTTCCCGCTTTTGAAAAGAACATCCTAAACAATGCTACATGAACTTAACTTCCTGTTTTTCTTCTCAAATAAACTTCATGAATCAATGTTTCGAACTATTACGATCCTAGAAAGTGTACAAGAATTTGTACATGCAAATATGAATATGTATCAAACATAAAGTGTTTTTAAAGGAATTATGAATATATTCATCTTGAATTCTTCCATGACCTAGAATTCATAATCTCAAAATAATTTTTTGTTTGTTTGTTTTTTTGTGTCTCAGCTCTGTCAGCCTTTCTGGTTGCATACATCGAGAACTAAATATTTGGTTGACTGTGTGCATGTGCAAATACATATGCAGATGTATAAACATGTGTTTATATAGACATTGTGTATTTATGCATGTTCTTAGATATATGTATATACAAACTTATATGTGTACGGATATATACTGTCAAATGTTCTAATTTGTATATGCATATGTACACTTAAATATGTGCGTACACATACATGTCATATAATGTAAACACACACACACACACACACGCATATATATATATATATATATATATATATATATATATATATATATATATATATATATATATATATAATATATATATATACCTACGCATAAACAATCGCGCACTCACAAACAAATGTGTCTATCAGTCTATATCTATATCTACCTATACATATACACATATATGTATCTACTCATATTATATACGAATATTGTATACTTCATTATTATCTGCCATTTTCGCTGTCCAATGAAATGGAAAGATTCCCTAAAAATTGTACAACCTGAAGATGAAGTTTGGCTTTGTAATATATTCAATCTTGTTCCGTCGACCTAGCTCTCGTCTGAGTGCACATTTAAAAATGTGCGTGAACACACACTCAAACACCTAAAAACATACATACATACACATATAGATCGGACGCTTTTTGACAGTACATATTCAAGTCTGTCAAAATTAATGAATAATCCTACAAGCATACTCCCAAAACCTCCTTTCATAAAGCTCGTAAGTAAATAAATTCATCATTCTACTAAATTAGGGCATTCATGTTTATGCGGGAGAATAAGGCATCATTATGACGAACTTTCCATGGCATCAAAAATTAGTACCCCGCTCGTGGCACTGTTTCTTCTGTAAAAAAAAAAAAAAAAAAAAAAAAAAAAAAAAAAAGCCGTGGTGATCAATATTTATGGATAAACACATACACATATGCAATCTATATGTATATATATATACATATAGATATGCGTATATAAACACACACATATGTATATATGTGTGTGTGTTCCCGTTTGTGTTTGTGTTACGTATTACGTATTTCTCTCTCTCTATATGAATATAAGTTGTACACATATATACATACATACACGTGTATATGTATGCATATATGTGTTATACATACACACACACACACACACACATACACACATACATAATATATATATATATATATATATATATATATATATATATATATATATATATTATATGCATGCACACACGTAAACATTATATAACCCAGGATTGAAAAAGTGATCAAGTGAATATATAAATATATATATGTGTGTGTGTGTCTGTGAGTACATGTATATATATATATATATATATATATATATATAATATATATATATATATATATATATATATATATGTCTAATGTTCTATACCTTCTCTATCACTCTTTTCCTTCCTCGGTTACCTATTTACAGCTTTGGGTTTTAGAGATCATAAAGTGTTGTAAATTACAACTCATTCCTTGTCTTTCCTCACGCAAATTTTGCTTCTCGCAATAACTCCCTACTCTCATTCCTTGCCTTTTGTCAGTACTTTTAGATTCGTTCAGAAATATCTCAACGCATTTTGAAAAGAATTAGCAAAAGAAACCTTCTCAATGCCTGTACTTCTGATTTCTTCCAAGATATCTCTCTGTCACGTTACATTTAAGCGATTCAATTTACCGATGTTTAAACTCATTGAAATTACAATTACTTGAAGTAATCTTCGCAATTAAAAAAAAAAAAAAAAAAAAAAAAAAAAGAGAGAGAGAGAGAGAGATGTAATTAACATCCGTAAGACTAAAGCAACATAATGTATGAAGATAGATTTAATCATGCTATGGCCATTCGTATATTGCGTGAAAGAATTGACACGATCACTCATGAGAATACTTTATTTATCTACCAAACCATTATCTATCATACCAAACGATTTAAACACGCTGGTTTAAATCGGATGATTTATCATAAAAAAATACAAAAGGTGCCATTAAACAAAAATGGTAATTTGCACTCATTTTAACACATATACGTACATACACACGGCATATCCACGCATATTCGTGTGTGTGTTGCATATATGCAGACAACATATATATATATATATATATATATATATATATATATATATATATATATATATATATATATATATATATACCCTGTTTAAGTGTCATATATATTTTATTGGATCTATACATATTTATCTCTATATATTTTATACGGAAAATAAATAATTACCTGAACCAATCTACGGCTCTTTAAAATAAAGAAAGTGGCAGTCGTGTGCCTATATATATGTAAGTGTATATGCATATATATACATAGATATAAAGGTACTTATGTATGTATGATGTTGTTTGAAGTAAAGTGTTTGTTTGTGTGTGCGTGTGCGTTTGCGTATGGGTTTGTTTATAAATATTTGTGTATATAATGACCTTCATGAAAACGCTACGCGAGTAGCCTTGAATGTTGTCCTGACATATATAAGGCGTGACTCCTTGCTGTAGACGCATAAGTCTTCGCTGAGTTCACAGCAAGAACATTCTCTCAACATGAAGCAGGTGAGTACAAACGTAATTATGAATATCATAAAAATCATATTTTTTGCCGCTTTCAACATATTCATTGCATAGATTAGATTATCATTATTACAATCATTATTATCACCACAACTACAACTATTACTAATAGTAGTAGTAGTAGTGACAGCAATAGTATTTACCTTTCATTAAATTCGAGGAATTACCTTATCACTTACAAATCATATAGGTTTGATAAAAAGAATACTCTTATCTTCCACTTTCCTTTTTCACGTCTACAGTTCTCGATGGCTCTGGCTCTGGTGGTGGCCCTGGCATGCCTGGTGAGCTGGACCAGCGCCATGCCTCAGCCTGACCCCGCGGCTGACCCTGGCCCCGCGGCTGACCCTGGCTACCGTCGCTTCGGTGGATTAGGATATGGTGGATACGGCTACGGCGGTCGTGGATTCGGATACGGGGGCTACGGCTATGGAGGATACCACCGAAGCTATTACGGATAAGGATATCCTGCTTACAGCTGTTGAAAAGAACACCCTGAGCAGCACTATAACATTTTCACTTCCTCCATTTCTTCTCAAATAAAATTCATGAATTAATGTTTCGAAGTATTATGATCCTCGAATAGAGTACATGCCCTTATATATAAGAAAGAATATGTATATGGATAAAAACATTGACCAACATGAACTTTCCACGATCTCTGCCTTTATTTCAAAATCATGGAATTCATTGTTTCACCTCTGTCAGTCTGCGATTGCAAACTAGGCGAAATAAATAGATTACATGTGCATATACACACATATATATACATGTATGTATAAATACGAGTAAAAATGGATATGCTTGTGCATGTGTCTGTATTTAGGTATATAGATATATAAGTACAAATGCATACATATGCAGTTGTACATGTTTATATTTACATGCATATCTGTATATATATATATATAATATATATATATATATATATATATATTATATTATTTATTTTTATTTATATATATATACATATATCATATATATGCACATATATACAAATATATATATGTATATTTGTACACAGAAAACACACTCACATGTGTATCTATATGTGTACAACTATTTTTATATATGTTTACATATAAAGATATGTCTGTGTATATAAATGTATATGTATATATACATACGTATATATAATATATATAATATATATATATATATATATTATATATATATATATATGCATACATATATATATATATATGTATGTATATATATATATATATATATGTACATATATATATATATACGTATATAAATGTATGCCAATGTCAAAAAATGGAAAGTATACCTGAAAGTTTCATAAGTTGTAAATGAAATTACGTTTTCACACTTGCAATCTTGTTCCACAGACAGAGTGTTCGCGCTGACACATATAACCACACAGCCACATGCGCGTTCGCGATCACACAAACACACAAATACATGAACCTAAATAGACACGCACACATTATATATAGTAAAAATATCGGGCAATTTTAGACAGATCTAGACCCATAATTCTGTCTGAACATATGCAACAAAGAATTAATGATCCCACAAAACAGTTACAGTTACATTGAATTTTCTTCCATTACATTTTCTTTCTTTCTTTTTAAATGTTCTGTATATAAATTCAGATTTAATATCTATCAGGGACACATCTCCGTTCCGCCCGCTAACCACAGAACACCAACATGTTTCCCAATCTGAAACTCGCAAGGATATAATGAATCATTCAACTAAATTAAGACATTCACGTATGTGTGGATGAACAAGACATTATGAATGACTCTTTCCATGGCAACAGCTGTTTTAGTACCCTGAGCGAAGCCTCGTGGTACGACCGTCACGAAAAAGTACTTTGCGGTCAAGTCAGCGATAAGTCATACCTTTGTGTAATGTGACTTACAGTTAGGTTAGAGCTCTCTGTAAATATGCGTATGTGTGTAAGAGGAATAAGGAAATATCTAAAAATCTAAAAAAATATATCTAAAAAAGAGTTAATCATCAATTGTTCATTTCTTTAAAGTGTACCTTGTTCAACTTCAGTCACTATCGTTTTCTGAACCTCGATATAGCATCATAATGCGTTGGTGTTCGCTTTTACATGCGTAAATATATATCTGCACTTATGTTTTTATATAGTATGTATATACAGATGTATTTAGACGTATGTATCTCCATTAACATGTATGATTTTGTTTTAAGTCGAATGCCTAAATATGTACAGTACATAGCGATACTTGTGTGTAAGTGCGTGGGTATGCGTGTTTGAATATGGGTGTGTCCGCAGCTATGTTTATAGATATATTAGATATTTTTGTATATAATGACCTGGAAAACTGCGCGAGTAGCCTTGGCTGTTGTCCTGTGACATATATAAGGCGTGACTCCTTGCTGTAGATGCATAGTCTTCGCTGAGTCCACTGCAAGAACATACTCTCAACATGAAGGTGGTGAGTAAATACGTAATTATGAATAAATGACATAAAGTGTGGTTAATTTTTATGCCACTTCTTGCAAGATATTAATTGCTTAGATTATATTTTTTTCGTTTCGTGCAATTCATTACCTTGAGATAACTTCCAAATTACATCAGTAGAAGTCTAAAATGAACTGATAATTTTTGCACATAACATTTCTTTTTTTGTCTACAGATCTCAATGGCTCTGGCCCTGGTGGTGGCCCTGGCATGCCTGGTGAGCTGGACCGGTGCAATGCCTGACCCCGTGGCTGACCCTGACCCCGCGGCTGACCCTGGCTACCGTCGCTTCGGTGGATTGGGATATGGTGGATACGGCTACGGAGGTCGTGGATTCGGACACGGGGGCTACGGCTACGGAGGATACCACCGAAGCTATTACGGATAAGGATATCCTACTTACCGCTCTTGAAGAGAACATCCAAAGCAACATCACGAAATGTCTACTTCCTATTTTCCCTCTTAAATAAAGTTCATGAATCAATGTTTAGAACTATCATAACCCTCGATATTATAGAAGCCAATACATATAAGAATATGAAAATGTATCATAGTTAAAGTGTTTTTTGCGGAATTATAAAAACACTGTTCAACATGAATTCTTCAACGATCTGGAATTCTTAATATCGAAATCCTAGATTTTAGTATTTCACTTGTCAGTCATTCTGATTACATACTATGGAATATGAATAGATTGGTTGATTGTGTTTGTGTGCATGTGCTTATATGTATATGTACATACATGTTTGTATATATGTAAATATTAATGGGTGTGTGTATGCATGTTTGCATGTAGGTATATATATATTTAAGTACAAATACAAATGTAGTATATACTTATACATATCCATATGTAGAGGTACATATAGCTATATCTTTATATTCATATATGCACATGTGCGTAACAATACATATACATATATATATATATATATAATATATATATATATATATATATTATAATAATATATATATATACAACAGATATACAGATATATACTACAATTACGACACACACACAAACATATACATATACATGTATATATATTTACATGTGAACATATATGGATGTATATGTATATACATATATACGTGTATGTACGTATATATACCTAGCTTTATGTCCTATCATTTTCGCGTCCAAAAAGAACGCAAAGGTTACCTTAAAGTTTCATAATTTGAAAATGAAATTCCTGGCAATCTTGCTTCACTGAAATAGTTCTCGTATACACACCTCCCCGCGCGGACACAGACAAGTACACAGGCACATGCGCATATGTGCTCACACGTACAAATAATACATATACCTAAATACACACATTATTTTATATTGGAAACGATTTAGGTAATTACATAAACTTCATCAAACTTCATGCAGGATGTTTTATTTCATTACCATTGGATTCGCTAGTTTGCTTTTGAATCGCTGCTTTAATGTGTTTTAATTATAGGTGTGTGTATATATATATATATAGATAGATAGATAGATAGATAGATAGATAGATAGATAGATAGATAGATAGATAGATAGATAGATAGTTAGATAGATAGATAGATAGATAGATAGATGTGTGTGTGTGTGTGTGTGTGTGTTGGACAATTTTAGACATATTATATATCCTTAACACGGTTGCATATACGCATGTGTAAAAAAAAAAAAAAAAAAAAAAAAAATCCCACAAGAACAGTTCTAGTTTACCTTGAATTTTTTTTCTGAAACTTCTGTACATAAATTCAGTTAAGTTGCTTTAGGAACACATTCTCCGTTTTCTTCGCTAACCACAGAACACCAACGTAACTCCTTAGATGAAACTAGTAAGTAAATAATTTGTCATCCCACTTTGTAAAGACTTTCACGTATGTGTGCGAGAACAAGACATCATTATGAATCACTCTTTCTATGACAACTGTTTTAGTACCATGAGCGAAGCCTCGTGGTGAGACGGTCACGAAAAAGTACTTTGCAGTCAAGTCAGCACTAATTCTTACTCTTGTATAACGTGAATTTTGGTTAGTGTAAGTTATCAGCGAATATGCATATGTGTGTAAGAGGAATGTGATAAGATATAAAACAGTGAATTAGTTTTTCTTTTCCATAAGGTGTACCACGGATCGATTTCGTGTCACAAAGTTTTCTAAACTTATCATTTCATGCATATAACCCTTTATTTCATGACTACAGGTCTCGTTGACTCAGGCCTTAGTGGTGGCCCTGGCATGTGTGGTGAGCTGGACCAGCGCCCTGCCTGAGCCTGACCCGGCTGACCCTGGCTGACCCTGGCTTCCGTCGCTTGTGGATTGGGATATGGTGGAGACGGCTACGGAGCTCGTGGATACGGATACGGGGCTAAGAGAACAGAGGATACAGCCGCAGCTTTTGTGGATAAAGATATTCCTGATACCGGCCCCGTGGTTAAAGCCCTTTAAAAGATAATTGAAAAGAATTCTACAAAATTATTACTCCCTGTTTCTCTCTCTCTCTCTCAAATGAACTACACGATTCAGTGCTAGAGCAATGATGATCCTTACTATATATAGTATACCCCCCACACCTACATACAGTACCAATCACAATTGTCTTGTTTAGGAAAAAAAAAAAAAAAAAAAAAAAAAAAGGTTCATGAATTTTTTCCATAATTCATAATTCATAACCGAAAAAATAAATTTTCAGCGTTTCACCTCTAAATCTCTGTGATTCCAAAGAAACAGAAACAGATTGGTTGCCTGTGTACGCATATGCATATACATGTGTGTATACATATACAAGTATATATAGATATATATGCATGTATGTGTGTATACATATGTCTGTACTATGTATACACAGCACACCACTCACCACAACACACACACACACACACATAATACATCTATGTGAATTTCAACACATTCTATATATACAGTGATATATCTATTGAGCTTATTATATGTATGATATTACGTATACTCATATTCATGAATGATCTAAAAGAGACGTAAGGAATAACGGTGTCTTAGTATGTTATGCACTTGAGGATGCTTGATTAAGGGTGTTTGATTCTCTAATTATGTCTAACTTTGACTATATTATTAACTCTAACGTGCAGGACATAACATTGTGTACTTTATACATGCATACACACACACTATTGACATGTCATGGATATCTTGTTATCTATACTTCTATTTGTAGTGATACCATATTTACACTTGCTATATATTATAATTAACATACGCCGATTTGATTTATTTCTATACTCACGATGTATATATATACTATGTATATTATATATTAATATATATATTACACTATATATGATTTCTCTTATTCTTTATATATTCATTATATATGTATCTATACAACACACACACATAATTAATATTTAATATATTATATATATTACTAAGTAGACAATTATAGTTTATTTTAAATATATATAATAGTAGTATCAATACTTATTAGTATGTTAGTATATATAATAAGTATTTATGTATATTATATATTATAATAATATATTGTATTATATATCTTAATGTAGAGTATACCACACATATAGTTAACATAAGTACAAACATAGCTAACCACGATCCACATACGTGTGTGATATATACGTCACATGTATGTGTGTGAACATTATATAGCCTGTGTGTTTTGTGTTTATGTGTTGCATACTAATGAAATTTGTCTTTTTCACACATGCAGTGTTCCACTAACATGGTTTTCGTTTGCGCACAGCCGCCTGCGCGCAATTCATCATCGTTCCTATGTAATTCAGATACCGTTAGCTTAATTTACATGTGCAGAAATATCACATAAAAATATGCAAAAGTTTTTTAGGGACGTGTAATTTTCTTTCTTTTCTCTTTATTTCTTCCTCTTTTGATATGGCTTTGGTACGAGTTTTCTGAAATAAACTGCTTGAATGAATCAATATATATTATCCTTTTTCATGGATATACCACATACCTATTTATACGATTGTATACAAAATATATTGATATATATATATTATATATATATATATATATATATATAATATAATATATATATATATATATATATATATATATATTCACTTCCGAAACCTGCATATATATTGTGTCATACTATTTTAGGTAGTTGTTAAGGAAATATAAAAGTGCATTTTTTCACTGATTACATTTCAACATTAATTTCAAGTAATTTAGGATTAATCAAGTTAAACTACAATGATATATTATATATATAATATATAATATATATATTATATATAATTATATAATATAATATAATATAAGATATGTAATTGTCCAATGTTCCTGTACCTTCACCTCTGTCACTCTCTGGTTTCCTCGCTTTACTATTTACAGTATTCTAGCCTTGGGTTATATAGCTATAATTAAAATCTCATTTAGCGTTAGAACCTTCACACGTCTTTGACTGATTCCCTCTATCGATTTTTTACTCATCTAACAATCACAATGTACTTGAAGTAATCCTCATAGTTGGATAAGATAGCGACGCATACGAAATACGTAAGGTTGGCAAAACATTAAGTTGTGTGGTGGTGTGTGTGTGTGTGTGGTGCTGTGTATCTACTATATAGAAGAAACGCGCGATAATACTAGACTATAATATTTCCTTACTCAGTAACCACATAACATTGGTTTCATAGTAATATAATAGAAAAAAACGAAAATAATATGCCTCCCGTTTGAACATATTACGTGCGTGCACACAACATACACAAATGCGTGTGCCGTTGTATGAGTTAATTCATGCATATTGAGTAAATATAATGAATCACTCTAGATATAGATGAAAAAATATATATAAATAGATATATTAAAGGAAATTATTTATATGGTAATATATATGATTACATACATAATATATATGACCATGCAGTAAAGTGCGAAGTGTGTGTAGTGTGCGTGGCGTGTACGATCGTAGATGCCGTGCGTGCGCGTGTTGTCGTGTGTATGTGTTGTGGTCTTGTGTGTAAGTTGATGTTGCATTGCCTGTTGGTGTATGTCCTTATGGTTTGTGCTACAAAGCATGTCAGTACCTTCATAAAAAAGATAGTTTATACCAGAATAAGATTTGAGAGCTATGCTCATAATATTATATATTATGTGTGGGTTGTGGTAGTGTTTGTGTGTGTGCTTGTAGTGCATGAACGTTGTGTAATGTGTAGTTATGTGCGTACGGCATATAATGCATTCATAAACTATTTATAAATAGTTTATACAGATAAAGATATTGCCCTATATATAATATATATACTATATATATATTAAATATTATTATATTATATATATGTATATTATTAAACTTATATTATAATATATAGAATATGTCGCGCTATCGCATGTATCCTGTTTATAGCTAACTGAATCCACTTAAGGAATTTAAAATCAATACCAGCTATAATCATTTTTTATTTACATTTTTCTCAAATGAAATGAATATCCGTTTCTGTTGGTTTTTGTACATGATTACCCGTGCATACGATTATTTTTATAC